TTAGCAGTGTAAATATACAACCTCAATCAAGAACAAATTCATGACCTTTAGGTCTTACAGTAGGCATGTCACCATTGAGTTATTGGATTGAAAATAGTGTGATCAGTCAGTGTAGGTAACCCAGTCTTACATAAAGTCAATCATGGCCGGAATAGCTCATTGGCAACGTCTCCAACTCACTCACTGCGCGACATGGGCTTGAAGTTGAGGATACGCTTTGATGATGAGTACGAACAAGCACGAAACTCAGGTCAAGCAGAACTTCGTGTTGATTGCCTCCAACCAACTAATAAAGTCTTATTATCTGAAAATTCATCTTACTCTTCCAGTTATGGTAAACTTGTCAACTCCTTTCAATTATGTTAGTTTTCTACTCACTTCTAAATCACTTCCTACAATACACACTTATTCATGCTATAAGTAGTCAATCTCTCTACAATCTCCACAATTTACTCCTCTGTAACTGGTGTACATCACTCTGCATTTGTGCCACACTTACTGCTTCCACAAGTGTTTTTTTTGTCAACTTAATAAGAGAATACAAATTTTCACCTTGATATTGTTTATGGTGTAAGCAGCTAGAGAGAATCCACGAAATAAAGATGAGGTCATATTATTCTGCATAAATCGACCTGGATTACAAACAAGCGGAACGTGATTTGGCATGTAAAATCCACAGATCAGCTTGATTGGTTTCTAACCACTCGCGTTGTTCAGTAGTGTTTCAATTATTGTTCTTGCTTTACTCAAAGTCATGATTTCTTTACCCCATACAGTCGTGAAAGCATACTCCTATGGAATTTCAACACTTGAGAAGACGATTTGCAGTGTTCTAAGTTTTTAATTGTTCTCTAGCTGATATTCATAAGTGATGTATATTCTGAAATAAATCAATTGCATGCAAACCCTCCAACTAACAATTAATTAATTTGTTATGAGGCGTCAAATAATCATATAGGGTGTAAAGTGCTTAGCAGTAGGTTGTTTGTTCTTAACGGCTTAATTTTCTGAAAAGAAGATAAAAATAGAAGCCAATAAAAGCAATTTAGCACTACATAACATTACTCGAGTGACTCTAAAGGCTACCGTGGGAACTTTTAAAATAATCAATTAAGTTGCTTCACTTTAGTTAGAAATGTGACTTTATAAAATGAAGAGACATGATTGGTTATTATGATAGTTAGTATAGTGGCCATTAGAGTTATTTTGTTACCCATGGAAATAGTCTTTAAAAAATTGAATGAACTAATCAAAATTGATTTAAGTGAGCTAAAGGAGGAGAAAATATGAAAAATTTGACAATATGATTCAACTTTATCGACAACTATCCTATTTAGCCAAAAAAGGAGAATCATTTTTTTATATATCTAAAGGCATTATGATAAATCAATATTACTTGTTTGTGCGCTGTACAGAAAGTTCACGGAGTGCACTGCATATATATATATATATATATATATATATATATATATATATGTATATATATATATATATATATATATATATTGATTTATCATAATGCCTTTAGATATATAAAAAATGACCTTGGTCGGAGATTATTAATCATAAAAAGCCAACAGACAGGATATTTTAATAGTTGTTCAAGTTTGATTACAATATAAAATGGCACATTTGAAACAAAGTTAAACATTTGGGAAATTTATATTCGATGTTCATTGATAACAATAAGCTTAATAATTTTAGTCAAACAAACATGAATCGGAAGTTAGTTAGATGAATCAGAAAAGAATGAATGACAGACAGAGAGATTGATTTACAAATCATTAAATTATAGTCAAATTTATTTAAACTAACTTTTGGATATACTTATTTCAGTTTACCTGAGCTGCTTAATAATAGGTCGATTAGATTGAAAGATGATGAGCTCAACTGAATTTAGGTGGATATCAGAAATATAGAAGCAACTAAGTCAAAGGGAATGTATGATTCAAAACATATTCCTGATGGCAGAACTCTTAATACTTTTTTATGATAATCCATACTTTAGTAGTTAAGCCACTAGTAATAAGTGTATACAAAGGTCTGCATCGTTAATTGTTATTATGCACATTTGATTGGCTAACACTATTTCTTACATAATAGACTGATTTCAAGGAATCCCACTAAAATAACCTGTAAGGTTTAGCTGTTTCATCTGGAAAGATAATTTGTCATAAACCTAAGAAACTTAACTTATTTTAATAGTTGTTAGAATAGTATCATACAAGCAATAACACTAAAACTATACCCGTCGCACAAGAAGTGGCTATCGTGGCTCGGTGGCGTAGTGGGTAACGCTCTCGTGTTTAAAGCGACCGCTCCCGAGTCCAAGTCCCGGTGGGAACAACATCACCCATTGGGAGGCACGTACATCCAGCTGACGAGTCCCAAATAGGACGAAATGTGCATCCTGGATTCCACTGCCCATCATTATTATACATAGTTGTTAGAATAGTCTTCAGAATTAATCGTAATTTCAGTTACCTTGATTTCAAATTATTTGATTGCCATTAAACCTTCAAATTATACAGATTGAAAGTACTTTATCCGTCATCAGTTACTTTGTCTTTATCCTCATACAGTTGAAGCTGATCCTAAAGCTATTTTTCATGCGAGCTAACACAGTGAGAACACATGTGTACAGTTCAAAAATCGAACAGATAATATATTTACCGAGAATGTACAGGGATGTATTAAAGAAAAAAAGCATACGTGGGTTGATCAAACTATCACAACTATGTATGGCTTATGGATAGGTCAAGGTAAGATGCCGTTTATGAATCATTTATCTCAAAATCTCAATTTGTAGTTACTGGTCATAAATACAACAGCAGGCATAAAGACAAACTGGTTCGGCCAGTAGTAGAAGTAAAAACAACTTCATGTTGAACCGAACTATTTAACACCACAACAGCCATGTAAGTATTATCGCTGTGATTTATTACTGTTGATTTAAGATGTCTTTCCCCTAAGATATCTATCACACTTCAATAATAAAGTCTGTCCGACATCTGATAAAGTAATCCGATTCTTCTTGAAAAGTGAATACTGACTGATGTGTAGACATTTCCAGTTGACTAGGTGTATTCTTATGCTAGAAATCCTAGAGGTGCTTGTTAATGTTCATCAAGAAAACTGATCTGCAACATTGGGGAACTTTATATCTTTTTGGAACTTACTATCCGCATAATTTAGTACTCAAATGAAAGAAGTTAGTGTACCAAGTTGTACAGGTTGTAACTGACCTTTTTTAGAGCATTACACAGTATCTAACACCAAATTACACTGTACTGTAGCGTTGTGTCATTTTTATTCGTGATCACACTGTTAACTCAGTTTATACCTCATAATAAGCACCTAGAAAACTCAACTTGACAGCTTTATCGGTTACCAACCTTTGATTAACTATTATAGGTATTTTGAATAGCCCGTGTATTGCTGTACTGTAAGCTATTGTATTGCACACACGGCAATCAACCATAATCGTCATATCAATTCGCCTTTTATGACAGCTAGATGTAAGTGACTGCAAGAGCAAAGAATCATTAGGAGTGTAACTGAATAGATGAAATTGTGAAAAGTGGAATTGCCATAGAGTTTATTGGCTTTGGCGCAAACTAGATGGAAAGTTTGATACTTTATTTAGAATGCGAAGCCTCCATGTGGATATTCAGTGTTCAGAACACTTTTCTTCGGCTAGCAAAGCCTGCAAAATGATGTGAGCAGAGCCCAAATACATTTATATTGTTCACTAATTCATTGTTACTAGCTTATCAAATTTTGTCCACCTTCTCAGTAGAAACCATAATGATACTACAACTGGATAGTTTATAAGTTATTTGTGCAAACATCAGGTATTATAATTTGACTATCTGAGATAGCCGTAGTTTGGCAGACTAGCATTTATAGTGGTTGGTCGCTGGTTCGAATCCGGCCGCGGTCGAAATTTTCATTTCACTTTCAGTCATCATCCACTATATATATATATATATATATATATATATATATATATAAAGTATCTCTAGGGTTGTCTAACAACAAATTTCTTGGTACTGCACCTAATCAACGAGTTGGAACAGCCTTGAAAGACTGCTTAGGTTGATGGCTGATTTTCAGTACGGTTCAGTATTGCAGTCCGCAAGAATGTCAATCATTGGATATTTTCAGATCAGGAAGTAAAATACAACCAATTCGCTAATAGGTAATTTCGTCGACATAACATTCCATAAAAGTTCTGAATAAACTAAATTCAACGTTATCAAATGATCAGTGTGTATTACTGACTTCAGTTAGGTTCAGTTTTCAGTAACAGAACTCGGTTCCAACAACTCACGGATTCTGATGTCAATTACACGAACTGATCTGTGTACAAAAATTTTTGATGAGTTCAGTTCACCTTAAATCGTTGTTTTACAAAAATTGGTCACCTGGCGGTTCCTGAGTTCTGATAAATACCTTCCAGATAAGTCTAAAAGAGGATCAGTAAGCCAGGTAAAAAGATGGAACTCAACTTCATCTAGGGTTTACGTTTGTCGATACACATTGGGATAGTTTACCTGGAACACTTAAAAAAACAATGCACTTTGAAAAACTAGATCTATCTTAATCATTGGTGAGGTCAGAAAGCCCAATAATAAACTGTTAATATTTTGATGAGGAGTCGTACGAAACAGCTAAGAATATGAGCCTATGAAATATACCATTGAACAATATGAGTAGTTAGAAATCACCCGAACTGGTCTGTAAATTTCGCAGAACATAAGGAGTAATAAACTGGCCTTACAGTACAGCAGTCATATAACCCCTCGCTAGTTGCTAACGTATATTGCAACATTCCTGAGGAAGTCATCCACATCCATGAAAAAGGTAAACAGACTCACGACAGTGAGTCATCGAAAAATTATCGCTTATGGCTAAACCACCTAAAACACTTGAAATTCACATTACGGATTAAATCGAATGGTGTAATTCCGCTTTTTGTCTGACAAGAAGTAACTCACCATACTCGATTCCTGAAGGCTTAGAACATAGACTATAAAACTTGCTGCAACTGTAAGTGAGATAGGAAAGTTGTCATATATATTTAAATAGTTGTCAAGATCAGCTTTCACTGGTGAGATAGCTTTAGTTACACTGGGAGAAGTACTGTTCGATAATTCATATTCAGGAAAAGACTTTTTGTCTATATCATGCACAATAATAGACTTCTTTGTTTGAGAGTGAACATCGGATTGTTGTGAGTTTTGCTGAAATGATCCACTGAGCAGAGAAACCAAGTCATGCACATGATTGGGTTGGACGAAATCCTGAAAAATAAATTTCATATTTTACGTACTGGATAAGTCAGAAATCAAAATTAAGCAACACCAAAAAAAATACACAGCAGAAACCTTTATCCCCTAACACCTAGTACCGAAAGCCACAAAGTGATCATCGCAATGATGAGAACACTGAATTCAGGTCTATAGTTTAACTTTCAGTACTTCAATTAAATCGTATCACATAACGACATATTATTTGGAGAATGCTCGTTAACCTTAAAAAAGTGTTGAAACTCCATAAAAAGTTTCTGTTCTCCTAGTTTCAAACTTCATTGTAATATCTACCATCCTTCATGTTCACCTATCAGCCTGAATATTCTCAGTTTGATATTAGGAATTATGGACCTGTACATCTGAAGAGCCTGGGAACAAAACGAAACACCTGTTTAACACCTACTTAGTCAGTATAAGCTCGGCTGAGGAATAAAATCCCCAGAAAATCTCTCTTAAAGCATCATGCCCTAAAACACAGTTAAACACACCATTTTAAATGATGTCTTCATAGGGAATAGATACTACTTAAGTAATTAAATTGAGTAATTTAGATAGAGCAGGAAACTGAGAAGAAGTATCCCAAAATATAACTTGGCTTGAAGATCGATATAAAGGTCCTCCTCAATGGAAATCTTTGAATTCATGATGAAACCGACATCGATCACAAAAACATAAAATTTTGCTTTCATTAGACTTCTCTTAATGAATTCAACGTTTTTTGGCTTGTTTTTTTTAATCAAATCAACTTTAAGTTTTAAATACAAACACTTACTATGATTAGATCTTATTCAACTGTAATGACTTGATGTTTCTCATTAGTATGATGAGGATACGCGTACATTAACATTTTCAGTAGATCTTATTTTTAAACACCATAATATGTCAAGTCGTGGGTATTGAATCACACATTTTGTGTAAGGCCTGGGGATGATACTGCGTAACTACTCACAAGTAAGTATTTAGGGTGGCGTTCGAACCCGTGATCCACTCGTTCACGTTTAACCATTTAATAGTACAAGCTACAGCCAGGCCCATCATAATATGACTAGATTAGTTAACCAAACTACCGGTGAAGGATACAAAAGTATGACTTCATGACCCTTCTGTGTAACTATTTGTAGATCTATTCGGATTTAAATTTATACGGTATAGCTTTCGTGTTTTTACGAGTGTTTAACAACAGCATTCTTTTGAATCCTTCTACGCTTTTCTATATTCTTTTAGCTTTCGACAAGTTGATTCTCCTACACACTGGAAAATCACTACCGGTTCACAAGTTTTCCTTATTATTTGACCAGCTGTTCAGTGACTTCTGCATACGTAACCTAGCACTACGAGGGATCATTTACAGGTCAACAAGCTTGATCCCAATACGAGTCAGTGACTATAAGGCTAGGTGACTGACAAAGCTGAACACTTTACAATGCGTTAAACTGAATGATCTGTATGAATAATATTCAAATTATTAAGGTATTTCCTTGTGAGATCATATGACAACTTCAGACACCATATGTTGTGTGATCCTTTTAGAGTGAATCTAAACATCATTTTTCAAATAATAATAATACCGTTGCAATTATCTAATCATACAAGAGAATACTAGTCTGGTTTACAATCCATATAAAACTGGTGACTACTCAAGAAATTTACATGCAACTTGAACAAGTTAAGAACAAACTACTCTGATGACTTCAAACTAATGCAAATACACAAAACTGATCGAGTTCACATTTTGTGTAATTTATATATTTATGAAACTTAATCGCTGTACTCTTCTCCTTAACAGTAACTATTCCCTAAATCGTTGTATCTTCACAACTTAAAAACTTATGAAATAGATAAAATCGATTGTCTGGATTAGCACTATTTATCCTTAACGAAATTCTATGCAGGGTTCTTTTGCATCAAAACTAGTAAAGGCTATCACAAGTCTATAAGCAAGGTCACACAGTTGACTGAATCCGTATTGACTACAGATGAGTAAAGTGTAACATTTTATAACTCCTAGTAAGGAATTTAGCTCGACATGTAGTCACTTAATCCAAAGAGTAAGTGTGTATATGCACTCGTATATATGAAATATCTGTCCAGAAATGTATTTTCTTTAGAAGCAGCTTTACTTTACTTAAAAGACTCAAACTTGACCTATATATTCAGAAAGATACTGTTCTCAACCCAGCTTTAACTTGGTACCAGGTCGATATTCATCATGAACTGACATCAGTTGGAAAACTATTGGAAATCTGGGAGCACTGGACAGCTGTTTCTTACTAGTGTGAGGCGAGTTAGCAGTGCACCCCCTGACCCCAGCTGAGATTGAATCCCTGACCTTCAGGTTACGTGGTTAGCGTGTTACCAATGCGCTGCTGAGTCGGAATCCAATGATCAATATTTCCTACTTCTGAAATCAATAAATATATCACTGCAAACCCGCATGTTGAATTTAGCCTGATAATTTTATTCTCCTCAACTTGTAACTACAAAATTTCATAAATTCATAACCCTATTTCTCAACTTCCTCTTTCAATCTATTTCAAAACCTACTGTCACTTTCCGAGTTGTATTCATCTTGAAAAACTGTTAAGTTTTTATTATGCACACTTAACAATGATGTCATTTTTTTTTATCAATTCTAAAATGATATTGTGTACAACCCTCCTCCCGCCCTCCCAGTTCCTGCCATCTTCTCTAGAATTTTCATTCTATCGCTATTTACAGTTAACCTTTAACTGATCCTACTAACAACATCAATTTGGGTCAGGCTACATCTTTGTTAACTCCCATCTCAACCAAAACATTTCTGTCAGTTTGTGATACTACGTCATATATCTTGTTTTTTTTATATCACAAACACTATATCTTATAGGTTGTAAAGCAGCTAAAGAGAATCCATGAAATATATACATTCTAATTCTTCTACCATTGTTCCTCGCATTTTATTTAAATCCATGAAAAGGAAGAAGTGTATGAAGGTGTCGATGTTTCCCTTGAGATCTGTAAGAGGAGATAAGCGTCAATGAACCAATTATGTATTTGGTTGTGTTATTTTTTGAAAGTCACTTGAAGTGTATTTCATTATAGTGAGAAACTTTCATATTGTCTGCACAAGGAACTGACCAACCAACAGCATTCAATTGATCCTATTCAGTACATGAAAAGTAGAAATACTAAAGACAAGTGTGATATTTTTTTGAGTATAAAATGGTTATTTGATTTTTTTTGTATCTCGCAGTCAGTGGTGGAACATCCAACCTAGAGGTTTCCGGTTCGAGTCCTACCATGACCAAAATTTCCGCACTAACCTCAATTATCACTCCAAATGAACTCAGTAACTTTTAGGATAAAACTTTGATGTTTATAAAGTAAAGTAATGGATTTTAGTGATATTACTAAAAGTAACACTTCGGTTACATTTTGGAATTTTTGAGCAAAACCACCTCGAGCACACTTCTGAATGTGGAATACTGCTCCTCAAAAAACTGAGGTGTTTAGTTTGGTGGATACGAAGGTACCTAAGTTTAGTCACAGGTTATCAAATGAAACTCCCAACAAGTCTAAAGGGTATCTGAAACACGTTTCGAGTTGTTCACAGAGTACCTAAGGTGAATCCAAAGTTTTTGTGGAATAGGCCATTATGCAACTGATGCGGCTGATACCCTTATACAGGAAGGCCTTTGATTATTTAACAGAATCCTAATTGCGTCAAACAGTAACTTCCATATAGAACGAAGCATGTTTCCTACATTCTGCCACTGGTTAGTTCATGTTAGCAAAGGTTGAATAACCAGTCCTGGTACGCTAACCCTACTAATTACCCTTATTTGTGAATACGACAAAAAACAAAAGAGCAGACAATGCATACAATGCAATTCAACGCGCAGCCTAGCATCAGATAATTGTACTTCTAATTACTTACACGACACCCAACTGATAGAGAGCAGTAGGCATCAATCAAGAGAGTTTGAATTTCAGTTCTATCACTGCACTGTTTCATCAAACCTATAAAAAGGGAAACAATAGACATGACAACGAATTTCTTCAATGCATACAAATGAGCAAAACCATGTTTACAAATTAATAGATATAAAGTAGAATTTATAACTAATCAATTAGACAATCAATACAGGCCCATACATATACATAATTAAACAACAAAACTTAACGGCACTAAAATAAGGAGTCGGTTCAGTGGAAACAACTATAATTTTTGTGTAGTTTTAAGCCTTGTTTTAAGTGTTTAATTCTCCAAGGTTCAACACTCATCTAAGATGGTGCTATATTTCTAATGTTGATGTGAAAAACAATGAACAACTGTTGTTAACTGGAGATGGTTGTTTTACTGAGGTAATCCTAATAAATAGTGACAAACTATCCTATAAGTAGGTGAAGGAAAGTTCAACTGAGCAGCAGAATTTATTTATTGAGGAGTTACTATCGGTAATGATAAAACCATTGAATGTTACAACAAAGTCATATTTCAGGTTGATATTTATCATGGAGTGACGTCAATTGGATAACCACTGGGAATCTGGGAGCACTGAACGCTTGTTTTGTCTTACTAAGGGACTTCTCAGCAATGCGCAGTCACGGCCCCACCAGGAATCGAATCCAGCACACTCAGGCTCTCTGGTGAACACGTGACCGTTGAGCCTTTGGATAAGAACCAGACGTAAGGACAGTTAGTTGACGAAGGTACTGGATGGAGGTCGCGCTATATCGTGAACGGAGAGAAGTAGGAAATGTGGATCACTCCATTCCGACCCAGTGGCTTAATGATCACGTGATCTCCAGGAAGCCTGAAGGTTCTGAGTTTGACTCCCGGCGGGGTGATGGGTATGCACCGGTGAGAAGTCCCATAGTGGGATGAAAGAGATGTTCAGTGGTCCTGTATTTCCAATGGTCTTCTAACTGATGACGAATATCAACCTGAAACCAATAAATTAACCCACCTAAAAACCTCCGAACTGAAAGTCATATTTCGAAGCATTCTCTTTGTCAGTATCCCAGTGTGTAGTGTTGTGACCCTCTATGTTTTTTATTATTATTGTTTCTTCCTCTCAGAATCTTCACCAGTTGACAGTTGTCACATTTGCATTTTCCGATTTTGTATTATATACTACTGATATACATTCCTATAGGTAATATTCACCACAACGACAGCTAACTAATCTAGGCTTTTCATTGTATCACTAATTACTCACTATGAAAACAGGTAATACACTGATGTCATCACCTCACACCGATACAGGTCAGGATTCGATACTCCTCAAACATGGTTCGATTACTCAAATCAGCGTAGTTTCATAGCTTTGTTAACTGGTTTGTCCTGACTTCAAAACTACTCAATCCCTGCATTGCAACGTATATACAGCTTTCTAAAGGTGGATAAAACATAATACGTTTTCCATCTCATATCATCCAATTTAAACATTATTGCAGTGTGATACAGAGAGAATCAGTGTGCCGCATACTTACTGCTTTTCGAATGGTCTAGTGCTTCATCAAAGGCCATAGACTTTACGATTGAAAAACACATCTGCACCAATATTTCCTGATACACTCAGATCTTATACAACTTCAAAATAAGTGAAACAGTCGGTTCATTATTGTTCTCAAAAGTTGGTGGAAACAATGTTTTATTTTCAGGCCAACGGAATTTAGTCTTATTATTCTCATTACTGTTATTATTATTATTAATTTCCCTTGGGTTCCTAGTGGAACGTAGGGCTTCACTAGCACGCCCCAATTTCACTCTCTTCTCCACAGTCCTTTAATCCTGGAACCACGACTGCCAACAGGCTTTCGTTTCTTCCTCACATGATCTCCTCCATGTCACCCTCGACTCGGATGCCCAACTCATCGTTTCCCCTTCGGATTCCACTCGAGGGCCTGGTCTGGCCTGGCAGGTGATCTTTACACTCAGCCTTCTCAGTGCATGTCCAATACATCTCCACTTTCCTCTCCTGCATATTTGTTGCGTGATGGGTTCTTGTTTCGTTGGTTCGTTGCCAGCCAGAGTTCCTTGTTGCTTATTCTTTATGACCTTCTCATCTGATCTTCAGTATCGAGGCAGCATAGGCAGTTGTTGATGAATATCTGCAGTTTATCGGGAATGCCTTTCGTAACGCGCCAAGTCTCTGAACCATACAGCAGCACTGAATTGACTGGATTGGTGTTGAAAATCCGGATCTTGTTCACGCTTTATGCTGAGTACAGTGCAGCGCAGTGCAGTGCAATGCAGTGTAGTGTAGTGTAGTGTAGTATATCTCCACACTGATTTCAGATTATTGCAGGAAGGCTTGTATTCTGTCTTTCCGATCCTGGCTGGCTTTGATATTCTCATCTGTGCCTGTGAAAACTGTAGTTGAAACGATGCTGCCTGGGTAGGTAGGTAGGTAGCTAAGTAGGTAGATAGGTGGGTGGGTGAAAGAGACTACTTTCTTCAGGTTTCTCCCGTTCATGGTGATTGGAGCTTGTTGCTGTTGGTGGTGGTGCTGATGTTGGTTGAGTATCTTCATCAACTCCGTCTTCTCCACGTTCACTTGAAGTCGCGTCTCCCTTCGCTGCCTCACCTCGCCTCGCCTCGCCTCTTCTCTCAACTTGTTAGTTTTCACCTGTACATCTTCAAGTTTCTGCCACAAGACATTAGACATCATCATCCTTGGCGAAATCAAAATCTTCTCCTGGGGTGTTTTCATCGGTCCAGCCAACGTGTGCCCATCTTCTCACTCATCACTGTTTGCTGCATGATCTACTCCAGTCGACCACAATCACGAAGATTATAGATGATAGTAGGTGACAGCTTTGTCTTACTCCTGTTTTCACTTCAAAGACGTCACTGAGCTTCCCATTGTGAATCACTCTGCATGTGGTGTCGTCATATAGCACTGGACTGTTGAAAGAGGTTGATAAAGATTGGTGGCACTGGAACCGTAGAGTTGAGGTAACTGCCTGCCAAATTACGTCTCGGTCGATGCTGTCGAGTGCCTCTTCAAATTCGACAAGGTTGAAGTAAAGAGTTGACTGCCATTCTATGCTCTGTTCTATGATGATGGACAGCGTAGTGCTGCAATTTGATCCGCACACGATTTCTTCTTCCTGATGTCAGCCAGCCAACCAACCAACCAACCTGTTCCGATCATAGTTTTGAGTCCAGAGCATCTTTCAGTCTCTCAAGGATGATGCGGCATAATATTTCACTTCGGGTGGACAGGAGTGGAGAATGATTCCGCACCAGTTCTTGTAAAGGCCAAGTTTTCCCTGCTTCGCCAGTTTGACAACGCAGCCCTTCTTCCAATCAGTTGCCAGCTACCTTTCATTCATTCATTCCTTCCTTCTAAACCTTCTGCAATAGTGGTGTGAGCATGTCCACTGTTGTCCCTGTGTCTGTTTTCAGTTCTTCTGGAGAAATTCCATCTGGTCCTGCTGCTTTCCTGCATTTCAGCAGTTTTATGGCATTCACGACTTCACTTCTACTTTCGTCGGAGGGCCTGTGTTCACTGACAGTTCTGTGGCTGGGCTGCTGGTGGTATTTCTGGCCGAGTTGTAGATGATGCGGGTGGTCGATTCAAGAGTGTTTCAAAGTGGTCAGTCCATCGCTTCCTCCGTTTCTCCTCTTTGGCAACTGGCTTTCCTTCACTATCTTTCACTTTCTTTCCTCTGAGTTGATCTATTCCCAGATGAAAGTAACCGGGTTATTTGATATAGTGTTGTCAGGTCTCTGTCTCTCCTCACTGCAGCCTGTTGTGCATCACTTGTCAGTGTGTCGTAGAAGTGTCTATTGTCTTTGCGCACACCCTTCTTCACTTCTTTGTCGTGTTGTGTTTTATGCGTTGTGTTCAGTTGCTCTTGTCGTTGTGCACCCTTGCGCTGGTTCATCTTCTGCTTCACCATCACCATCACCATCACCATCTTCCTCTCCTTGCTCTATCACCTTTCATGTGTCCGTCGAGATCCATTAACTGTCTCATCCTCTTTCTTCTTCCTTCTTAATACCGTTATCCAGGTTTCTTTCCACACCTCTTATAAAGACTTCCAGTGTTCTTCCACTCAGGTTTCTTCAAGGATGTTGCTCAATGTCTCCCACTTTGTCCTCATGACTCACTGACTGACTGACTGACTGACGTGAAGACGTCCTCTGTAGTTTCGTCCTTCAGTTCACTTTCTCTTCTCGGTGTTCAACTTCAACTGTGATCTATCACCAACTTCCTTGAAGGCTTTCAACTTGATTTTCGAGGCGGGTTCCTTGCACTAGATACTAGATATTTGTGTAAACCTGCATATTCTCCCCTTCTTCATCTCATCCTCTGTCCAGTAGACTGGCTCAGTCTCCACTTTCTTCACATTCAAATGAAGTCAATCCGACTTGTAGTGTAGTGTGTCCTGGTGTCTGGTGAAATCCATGTCGCTTTGTCAATATCCTTGTGTTTGTACACACTGCCTCACCTCCAATCACCAACTCGTTCAATTTGCTGAATTCTGCAATCACTTCTCCGTTATCATTCATTTCATTGAGTGCTTCTCGATGTATGATCAGTTCTATTCCTGTGTTGTCCACCCCCAGTTTAGCATTTATTCATGTCTCCCCATCCATTAGAATTTTGATGTCGCCAAATGGACTTCAGTCTTCTTCAGGATTGATTGGAGTTGTCTATAGAATTCCTCCTCCTCTTCATCTGCATCATTTGTAGGTGTGTGGAGTAGGATTATGTGATTGTGACTTTCCTTCCTTTTGAGTTGGATCTTGCTGCGATGATCCTGATCGTGGAGGGGACTGGTTCCCACTTCATGAGAGACTTCGATGTTGTTGGGGAAATCATGATACCCACTCCGAAACTCAATGTGATCGTGGTTGTCATGTGGGTGGCAGTGTCGGAGTAGATTATTGACTGTGTAGTTGACAGTTAGGAGAGTCCACTTCCATTCCATCTACTTTCGCAGATTCCAAGCACTCGTATGCCATACTGGAATTTAGCCTTTTGACGTATTATTTAGCGTCG